TCTGCGTTGATCGTCACCCCGTGTTGAGATAAACGATCAAAAAGTGTTCGTACGTGGCGTATGTGCTCTTCTCGTGAAAAGCTTGTGATAAAATGTCGTCAAGATACGCGTAAGCGAAGTCTAAACCGCGACAAACTTGGTCGATGAAACGCTGAAAAGTTTGCGCGGCGTTCTTTAGGCCAAATGGCATGCGCAGAAACTCGAACAAACCAAATGGAGTCGTCACGGCAGTTTTAGCGATGTCAGCTTCGGCTACCGGAATTTGGTTGTATGCGCGTACCAAGTCGATTTTGCTAAAGATACTTTTACCCGCCAGACTGGCGGTGAGATCCACTATGTGTGGGATCGGATAGAGATCGGGCGTGGTCACCGTATTCAAGGATCGGCAGTCGCCGCAAAGACGCCAGTCCCCCATGACCTTCTTCGGGACCATGTGCAGAGGCGACGCCCATGGGCTGTTGGACGGTCTGACGATACCAAGTTGAAGCATATGGTCAAATTCGGCTCGTGCTGCCCGTAGTTTGTCAGAAGCAAGCCGTCTTGGTCGTGCGTTAACTGGTTGACCGCGCGTAACTATGTGGTGAGCGACCTCTGTCGTGACTGGTGGAAGCTCTGCAGCCGGTCGAACCAGTCGCGGGTGTTCGGAGAGGAGGCTCAAGTAGTCGGACGGTGCGTCTGCGATCCGAAATACAGGGCTGATTATCGGGGCATCTGAAAGGACACCATCAACACCTAGCTTCGTACGGTCGTCTAGAAGTCTGTGGCGACCAGCATCAACAAGCAACCCAAAATGTCGGAGGAAGTCGATCCCGATAATTGCGAAGGGTACAGACGCAACCATGAAGACCCACAGAAAATCTCGGCGAAGATTGAGGTCCAGGTTCATCATGCGCTGACCGAATGAAGCTATCGGAGAACCGTTGGCCGCACGCAAATTGTACGTAGGCTCTGAGTGCTTGTCGTTAGCGGTCGCTGGGATGACGCTGACGTCCTCTCCAGTATCGATGGGGAATGTGATGGAAGAACGTCTATCCTTAACGTAAAAGTCGGTTTGCGTGGTTATTGAATGATACGTTTGTAGTGCTAGTATGCGGGCTATTCGTTTTTCCTGGGTCGTGCCTAATGCAGGGAGCCCGACAACGTCTAGCTCTTCCACCGTATTGGCGGTGATACCAACATACTTCTTCGACAAGTTTGACATTATCTGACTGTGAACTTGTAAGGAAAATGTTGCGCTTTCGTGCCGAACGTGACGTACTCGGTGCAGGCACAGACGAGTCGCAATGAACGGTAGCCAAAACGTGGTCAGCATTTGACCGTGGCACACGCTGCTTTGAAGCCTTCATTGCTGCTATCCTGCTGCGAAGTAGCGCAATTTCCTCGTCGTTAGAGTCAGATCGGTCTAGCGACTGGGAACAAAGATGAGATTCGGTTTTCATCGGTGAGAATACGTCACCGGAGTTACTGGTCGTCTGCTGCGGAAGACGTTCGAACGCAGCGTCTGCCTTGGTAGCTAAGTCTTTCAGGGGTGCTTCTATAAACATGGACAGCATTACCGGCAACGGCTCCGGAAGACGTGCAAACCACAGCTCCTTTATCCCTTCGCTCAAGAATAAGGGACCAGCGATGCGCTGAAGTTCGCGGAGCAATGCCGACGGCTTGCGATCTCCAAGCTTGAGACCATTGAGCTGCTCAAATCGAGTTCGTGCGCTGGGCCGTAACTCTTTCAAAATCGCTTGCTGCATCGTTTCATACTTTGCCTCATTCGATGGGTCGAGTAGAATGTCCTCAATCAGCGTCACTAACGACGGAGGAAGGCGTGGGACGAGCTGATTGTACCTCGGACGGTCCGCCGTTATGCACTTATTTTCTAGTTCGATCTCGAATATCTTAAACCAAACTTCTGGACTGTGTTCCATGAAACTTGGAACAGCCAAAGTAAGCATGTTTACGCTGTGAAACGACTCAGATGCCACTATCGAAATGTGAGTCGAAAGATAAAGAATGAACAAAATACGATAAAAGTACTAAAATTACGCAAGAAACAAATGAATATAGCTATATAATCAAGAAAAAAGAACGAACTCACCAAAAAATACAAACGAGAAAAAAGTTCTATTCGCGCGTGCGAATCGGGATCACCAATATATATATATATATATATATATATATATATATATATATATATATATCATCGTCATCAATATATGTTAGCTGACGGTGAGAAACACACCTCAGCTAATGGGCCGCAATACAAAGAAGATAGGATACAAAAAATTAAACTGCAAAAATTCAAATAACAAGTAATATAGTGTATTATATTATCCATTTACTATGAGATTGTATTTGTAGAGAAATCTCAAGGAGAGGTGGTAGACAAAGGAACTCACAACACAAACGACATTGGAGGAGGTCCTTCGCCATATCAGAAAGTGTGTCCAAGCAAACGTGTTCGGCGTCTTTCGGAACCCAGCCAGGCAGTCAAGATAAACCATCTGACGCCAAATGCAAGTAGGGTTTTCATTTCTCTCGACCAAGTTATCACTTGGCCTCCCCATCCTCCACTTCCAAAGGCTCCCTCGGCGCGCAAACAATGCACGCCGCGAGAGTCGATGAGTTGGCGTGCGCAAAACGTCACCCAGCCATCGGAGGCTGGTACGTGATATAATGGTGCTGAGCGGTTCATTCACTTCTCCTACACCAACTACATGACGTCAAACACGTTCATTGCTCACCTGGTGCTCCCACCAGACATGAGCTAAGCTGTGAAGGCAGTGATGATCGAGCGTGACTAGCCTCTTTATGTCTGTCCACCTGATGAGCCAGGTTTCACAACTATATAAGAGGGTTAAACGGACGGCTGCATTACAAACTCTGCCCTCAAGGCAAGAGTGATGTCGCGTCTGCGCCACAGGTGGCGGAGATTGGCAAAAACACCTCGAGCTTTTGCTATACGGTTCGTAATCTCATCTTTGATCCAACACGCGCTAACACAGTTGCCCAAGTACTCGAATTCCTGAACGACTTCAAGCTGATCACCAAAGTCAGCACATGAGTGGGCCCCTGCCAATCTTGGAGAAGCACTGTGCATTTCAAGGGAGAAAAGCATGACTAGAAAGAATTGACAGTCAGCGCAAACTTGTCTAATGTTACTTGGCACGTTTGGGCGTTGTCACATAAGTGAGCAATGTCATCAGTATACACCAAGTCAGGAAGTCGTCCATCAGGAAATAGCACCACACGTTGTCAGCCTTGTACAGCGAACACTGTTTCCATAACTTCATCAATGGCGAAGCTAGAGAGGAAAGGTGAGAGCGGGTAAGTTTGTCTCACACCGCTGGTGGTATTGAAGGGTGGTGAGAATTCGCCCGAATTATGTGCGTACAACGCTCTGATAATGCTTACGTACTTTTCGGGTACACCTTCAGCAGACAGTCTCAAAGGGCACATAGATCCACCGAATCGAAGGCACCTTTGATGTCGAGGAACTACGGTGGGTCGCCAATAAATATGGCAGTGTTCCAACAACTGACGAAGAGTAAAGATGTGGTCATTGCAGCCCCGAACTCGACGAAACTCGGCATTCCAATCGTGCAACTGGCTTTTACGAGTGTCAGTCAGCCTTTGAAGAACGACAGACGCAAGTCATTTATAGGCAATCGAGATCAGACTGATCTGTCTATGATTGCAGCATTCTGAACGGGAGCCTTCCTTGAAAATTGGGACTATGACGGATCGGCTCCAATCTGTCGGGACAGTTATCTATTCCCACAAATTGATTAGTAATTGGTGCAAATCATCTACTATACATATATATACATATATATATATATATATATATATATATATATATGCGAAATACCGAGGAGACTAGATAAGGTGAAACAGCCGTCCGGTGATTATTTGGGAGTGTGGAAAATTATCGGACTTGAAAGTTGCGAAAAACAATTAAACAGTACGTTACTGGCTGAAAAGAGGAGTGCTATCTGAAAGACTAGTCAGCGTTTCCCATCAACCGCGAAAACGAGTTGACACGGGTTGATGCGGGTGTTCCAGCACAAGAACGACAAGCTCCCGTGGATTGTTTTGAGTGCGCCATGCATTATTCAAGTTAGGTGGACATAATCCTAGTTACAATATGGGTACAATTGGCTGTGAAGTGTCCCAGTAAACCTTGAAAGGTGCGGATGCAAGCAAGCAACTGATGATGCAAGCGGACGGGGAGAGAAAGGTTAACCAGACGTTAGCTTTAGGATACACAATAGTTATTCTGGAGTTATTGCTAGAAGATTAGGCTAATGGAGAAAACAAGAATTCAACAGAGAAAGCGAAAATATCACAATAGTAGTAGGCGTTTATCGACCGGGGCGTCAACATCAGCAGCAGTTAGGCATGGAGTGCGGAAACCCACTATGATTATTGGGACAACTAGTTCTCCAGGAAACTTTTGGCACAGAAGTTAACACAAGAGTGTCGTACGATTTATTTCCTGAAAAAGTTATCTGCAGTTTGGTCAATTTGTTATTTCAATTGCACAAATTTCATGATGCTATGAATTTACTATGATTAGTTATCATTGGAGTAAACATAGCCCAGTAGAAGAAAGCCGCTCTATGGCAAACACACCAGCTGGATGGGGTCTTGTTCGGATGGCGCAAAGGCAAAACCCGGTGCAGGGGTTACGGCTGAGAAAGTATCGAATTCCGTAGCAAAGACAAAACATAGGTGTAACACACATGACTATACCAGAAGCAGGTAAGGACGAAAACGCACTTGTGGAGGCCGGAGACAAGAAATGAAACCACATAAACGTAGGGAACTTGTCAACACCCGATAGAGAGAATACAACCCGATGGACATTCAGTTTGTCATCTCTAAAACGGTACGCAATCATAGAAAAGTTCCGGCGGAAGCTCATTGAAGAAGAGCTCATTAAGACGCAGATTTATAAAAACGTGGCACTAAATACCAGACTTTCAGAATAATTTAATTCAACTAACCTGTTGAAACAACTTCTGTTGTTCGCGCATAAGACGCTCTAGCTCTTCACTATCCTGATGCTTAAAGCGATAACTCGCACTTAGCATACGCCTGCCTTTTAGTTCTTCTTTGGCTTCTTCGCATGCCTCCATGGCGCGTTCTTTATAGGTCGAAAGATTCATGGAATCCAAACCTAGAGTTATGTGGAAATTGGAGGCAAATAGAAAGAAAATGTACCTTGAAAGATGTGCTCGGGGCTAATCGTCTTCTTCTTTGTAGCAGTACAAGCCACGTTCGCCTGAGTTGTAAGCTGGTGTATAAACGCATGAGTGCAAGCAAGAAGAAGCTCGCGAGTTTCAGTAGTAAGTCGAGCATCCGGCAAAACGTCTTTAATGAATTTATTCAAAGCAGCTCTTGGTATGGATACCTCATCTTCTTCTTTACACTGAAATTCATCTTCATCGACCACTTGGGGGGATATGATTAAAATACGTAGGCTTACCACTCATTTTGATGAGGGTTGTGCTGGAAAGAGCAGATTTTATATAAATTAAACAGCCAGGTCTGAGAATAGCGGAAAATTTAGACGCATAGCTGGTGAAGTGCACAGTAAGAAACGATGAATGGACAGAACGAAAGGCTCAAGATTCTCGACAAAGTGGAGGTCGATAAGGTTCACATATTCCGAAGCTGGCGCAGCAGAAGCAGTCCATAAGATAGAAAACCATGGGAAATACTGATTAAAAATGGTTAACAAACAGAGCTTTGCAGGATGGGAGAGAGGATGAAGTTGTACATGATCAAAAAGTTTAGAGCTGAAGGTTCAGTGTAGTACTAAGACGTCTAACCCATCACGCTAGCAACCGAAGGGAAGAAGAAGCAACGCGATATATATATATATATATATATATATATATATATATATATATATATATATATGGTTGGCGGCATCCGGTTTCGGATTTGCCTGTCACTGTGGCAAGCCACAGGACGCCTGCGTCTACAGAGGGACCATGGATGGCTTGCGCTGCACCACCCACAGCTCCATCCACACACCCCATATCCTGTGTAAACCCGAAGGAATAAGACCGGGAGACATGTGGATGGGAGCCACGTTTCATCAACGGAGCCGGCCCACACTCCTTCACAGGCAAACACAAGCACGCTCTATTTGGGAAATCAAGCGCACACAAGGCGGTGGCTGGACCGTAGTCCGCTCCACACTGACTGCATGAAACCACTCTTTGATCCTAACACGGCCACAAGGACCGTGCACCCTGTCCCCTCCAGCAACGACCAACTGTCTCCTGGAGCCAGTATGGACGAGGTAGTGGGTAATAGACAGGTAGGCACCTTGTCAACATGCACATCAAGCGCAGCCACACCGGGGATATCAAGCAACAGCCAATCACTTGAGAGAAAGATAACAAAGAAAATAAATCGAGTAATGCATAAGGAAAGGGTGACATATACTTTAAAGTAATGAGCATCTGAAGTAAATTGTTTACAGGAGAATGCGAGATAAGTTCACGAGGTCAGAAAGTATACCTTACGGAAATGCCACGAACACAATAATGTTTTCGAAAAGGACTAGAATTGGCTTAAGTGACGTGTGCAAGTTTATAGAAGAGAGTACAGGTAGACGTTTATATGAGAAAGCAAAGCATTGGGATAAAATTGAAAACCCACCACCTGAAATAAACCGACTTAGCACGCAGGCAAACGGTGACATAAATCTTAAATTAGTGAATATATGAAATGAGTTGTTTACAAAAGAATACGAGGAAAGTTCACGAGGTCAGGAGGTTTATTTTACGGAAATGCTACAAACACGAAAATGTTATCGAAATAACTACAAGTAGCTTAAGCGACGTGTGCAAGGGTATAGAAGAGAGTATAACTAGGCATTTATATGGGAAAGAAAAGCATTAGGGCAAAATTGAAAACCCACCACCTGTAATAGATTTAGCGTGCAAGTACGCGGTTAGTACATCGAATGCAGCATACCTACAAACGCTGCGCCGGTTCTGCCTACGTTCACTGCAGAACCCGTCGGCGCTTCGGTAGTAGTCCCGAGTGGCCTCGCTCATGGCTCACTAGGCCTGCCTGACTCAGACACTCGCGACCGCATGTTCTACAGCACCGTACACTCGATGTCAATGGAACACAATCCATTGGTGCTTGACGCTTACGCACTTGCCGCTTCTTCTCTGCATGCATGAGGTCTTTCTCCCGCACTTCAGCAACTGCCTTCGTGATTAGATCGCGCCATACGCGCCGATCATCCGCTTTCGATTCCCATGACCTGCAATCAAGATTAGAACGTGTGAGGCTCACTTCGATCATATCCTGGTTTCCCCACGTGCCGATTCCCAATAGTCAGCTGACCGTATAAGAGTTGTTTCGGTATCCGAGTAGAATCCATACGCCACACATGACCGAGACATCTCAGGTATCTCAATAAAAGTATGCAGTCCACTGCATACATCCCACTTCGGCGCAACACTTCCGTGTCTGCAAATCTGGCGCCCCAGCCGATGCGCAAAATTCGTCGCAGACACTGCTGATGGAACCGCTCGAGATATCGCACATCCCGACGGTACATCGTCCACGTTTCGCTGCCGTATAGAAGAACGGACAGCACCATGGATTTATACACCATCAGCTTTGTGCCAATCCTAAGCTGATAGTTGTTCCACACTCGGTACTCAAGCTTGTCGAATGCCGCTGCTGCCATCGACACGCGAATACGCAACTCAATGTGTAGCACTGATCAGTCGACATCACACTCCCAAGGTAGCTGAAGCGGGAGGTGGTTTCCAATACTTCAGCACCAATGCTGATTCGCGGCAATATTGAAGATTTCACCCCCGGTGAAGGCTGAAAGAGACAGACAGTTTTGCTTGTGTTGATGGTGAGCCCGAATTTTGCCGCCGTCGAAGCCAGAACACTAGTCATGTGCTGCAACTCATCCGCGCTGTGTGAAAACAACGAAAAGTCGTCAGCAAACAGCAATATAAGGATAGTTGTCTCACAGACTAGAGTTCTCGCACCGAAACGACGGATGTTCAGCAACCCACCATCAATACGGTGCCCCACACGAACACCGTAAGCACAAGCCGCATCAAAAGCACAAGACAACATTGCATGAAGATAGATATTAAACAGGGCAGGAGCTAACACACAGTCTTGCTTCACACCAGAGACAACTGCAAAGTCATCCGAGGTCTCTCCACTCAGCTGCACCCTCGCTCGCATACCACTGTGCAGACATCCAATAAAACTTACAAACTTACGCGGGCAACCAAACTTACCCAACACCAGCCACAATGCCTCGCGGTTCACTGTATCAAATGCTTTGGTGAAATCAACAGAAAGCGAGTACCATGGCTGGTGTCGTTCTCTGCACTTCTCTTGCAACTGACGAGCCGCAAACACCATATCTACAGTGCTGCGACCCGAACGGAATCCACACTGCTCTTCCGCCATGTTAGGTTCCACAACCTGACTGACGAGGCGGTTGAGCAGGATTCGGGCAATCACCTTGCCCACACAACGCAGCAAGTTGATGCCACGATAATTCGTGCAACATTGTTTGCTACCTATGCCCTTGTACAGTGGTAGCATAAAAGCATCCTTCAGCTCAGGAGGCACCTCCTCCTCAATCCATACACGTCGCACCAAGTGGTGTAGCGCAGTCAACAACGCGGGTCCACCGTGTTTCAATACCTCTGGCGGGATCCCGTCGGCTCCGGCACATTTACCGTTTCGCAGCTGAGCAAGTGCTCTCTGCGTCTCATCCAGTGTCGGCGTATCCACCAGATTCACCTTCACATCGTGCTGCTTGAGGCCGCTCAATGTAGGTCAGTCAATCTCTGAACGGTTGTTCAAGAGACAGTCAAAGTGTTTTCGCCAGATCTGCATTATATCTGCAGTCTGTGTGCAGGCAGCGTCTGGACTACCATCGATCAGTGTCCTCAGAGGCTCCAATCTCGGTCCATACACCGCCTTCAAGGAGTCAAAGAATTCCTTGTGTTAACAGCGTTCGGCGTAGCATTCCATCTGCTTCGACTTCTCCGTCCACCATGCATTTTTAATGCGACGGAGCTCTCGGGTCAGTCGCCGTCGAAGTTTGCGAAACTGACTACTCTTCCCCAAGTCACTGGGGTCTGCGACATGTGCAGCAAATGCTGCATCCTTCTCACACACCAATGCGCCAATCGTCGCATTGTTCTCATCAAACCAATCAGGCCGCTTACAGTTTGCGCGCTCGATGGTCTCCTCGGTAACAGCTGTCACCTGGTCGCGAATGTGGTGCCACAGGTCGCCCACTGTGGCTATGCATTCCAAATCACACAGGCGTGCAGCCATCGCCTTCTCCAGCTCAGTACGTTTCGCCCCAGTACCGAGGGAGAGAATGTTAAATTTACGCCGATTCACGGCGGGAGTGCAATACATGAATTTACGAAAATATATGTACAGTTTGGTCCGCATCAACTTGTGATCAGTGCCACACTCAGCTCCACGCAGTACACTGTCATGCGCACTTCACACATATCACGCTGACGTACAATGAAATAGTCGAGCAGGTGAGCGTGACCACTCCGTGGGTGCATCCAACTTGCAATATCACTCGCACGTAGTATATATATATATTATACACAATCTGTGGTACAGATATTGTGCCATCGGAATCATGGCTGAATAGGAAAACAATATGAATAATAAGAAAAGAGCAACAAGAAATGCTTTTTTTGTCAAGTTTACCACTCACAGTTTTTGAAATTTTTTTTTCAGTTTGTTCGTTTTTAGGGGGAGGAGGAAGGGACACCGCAACACACTGATGCACACGTCCGCCATTGACATCGATCTTGAGCCATAACTTCCAAGGTTTTCAACCAGCAAGTATCCTCGTCTCTCGGACCCCAACCAGGTAGTCGACAACAACCGGCCGAGGCCAATTGTTTCGTCAACTTTTTCATGCGGCTTCTCCATGTTGTAGGCTGTCCACCAGACCGTCTCTTCCAGCCCTGTCCAGCAAGTGCAAACAACGCACGACGGGGGTAACGCTGGACAGGCATGCGCAATACGTGTCCCAACCACCGCAGTTGATGCAGTGAGATGAGCTCCTCGAGCGAGTGGCTTCCACGTCCCAAGACACGCTGTCTAACTTCCACATTGCTTACGTGGTGCTGCCACCACACACGGGCAATGGACCGCAGACAGCGGTGCTCGAAGACGGATAGCCTGCGCAAGTCATCTTTACGAATGGGCCAGGTCTCGCATCCGTACAACAGTACAGCACGAACAGTTGCACAATAGACCCGCCCTTTGATGGAGAGACGAATGTCGTGGCGACGCCACAAATGCCTCAGCCTAGAAAAAGCGAGGCGTGCTTTCGAGATGCGCATCGAAATCTCGTCTCCAACAGCCCCGCCAGCAGTGATGCAACTTCCCAAGTAGACAAAGCTCTCCACAACCTCCAGTGTCTCACCAGCAAGCGTGAGTGCAGGCAGAGGCACCTGC